ATTAAAACTTAAATAATAACAACAACTAATGTATTGCATAAATCATATACGATGCGGTATTTCCGTCATAGTATGTTTATTATGAAAATAAGTAAAACAATTAAAGTAAATATAAATTTAGAATTAAATTATATTAATTAGAATGAAAATAATAATCCAAATAAAAGACAGAAATATTACTGGTTATAAAAACAATATCAATATTTTTCTTTTGTAATATGAATAATTTACCAACGTGTTAATATAATATAAGAAAAATAATACATATATTGATGTGTATGCATATTATTCTTCAAGTTTGGCAAAAGAAGATTTAAACGTAAATGCTTTCAACATTTTAAAGTTTCTTATAAAAGTACTTTCTGGTTAATATAGAATTTTTCGCGTAGCAAAACTCGCATATATAGAGAAAGAGAGAGTAAAAAAAAATAGTATACGTAGGAGCTTAAAATAAATAAGAAATGCTGATGTATTAAATGTGGAACAGGATGTAGTTTGTTTGCGAAATCACTTTGGAGAAGGCTATGGGTGGAAGTGTGTTCAATAGACGATATTCCTTCGATATTTGAACTGGAAAGTCTTCAGCAAACAAAATTCAGAATCGAATCAATTATATTCGGACGCTTCGTGCCTCATTTCTCCCATCCGATCAATTTGCCGACAGATACAAGAGCTAAACTATTTGTTGTGAAAAGAGTCTCCTATTTGCTGATCGCCACGTTATCTGATAAAATTTAATTGGAAATTTCATGATTTTATTGGAATAATAACAAAATCTTTATTGTTCAATGTAATAATAAAAGCTACTTTTATTAATAATTCAATCATTAATATGTTACTAATCAATAAAGTAAATATAAATAATGCAAGTGAGAAATATACAATTGTTGTTAGAAATAAACAAAAAATCGATAACGAAGATGTGCAAAGAAAAGTGTGATCAATTTTACGAGAGCGAGGTCCGTCTTGAAAGTAGATGATGTAGTTTATTGAAGTAGTTAGTACTTGTTGAGATGTTCCCTGGAGGAACCAGTTCGAGGGCAAAGTAAATAAATAATTATGCAATAAGTCAAGAACTATATACTAAAGCGAATTGGCGTCTAGGGATAAGTTTGTTATTAGAGAAATTTTAAAACATTGACATTTTGCTAATTATTTAACAGAAAAGCGTAAAATTACATTACGGAAACTATATATTTGGCTAAATATGAAAATGATACTGATACTGTATTCAAAAACATTTGTTTCTGTTATTATATCAAAATGAACCAAAATCAATAACAGAAGGGAATAAAAATTTGTTCCAAAATGAGATTTCGTTAATTAAATTAGTACTTGAAATTATTTTGATAATATACAGTAAATATACGTTCTATAATATCAATAAAGATAAATAAATTGGGCGGAAATTTGCCGTTTCCGTACTTACATTTATTTCTAACTTTTTATTTCTTTGTAATTATTTATATATTTTTTATATAAAATTATTTTTTTATTCAAATAAATGTATTTCTTTTAATTGAAATTGTGTATAATATTCTATGAATACATTGTAACTGGTTCATTTTAAATTATTGTAATGTAAATATTTTAACACTTTTGCTTCTTTATAGTTTAAATATATTTGAAAAAACTCGGGTTATTTCAATAATAATAATTATTGCAACAATAAAAATACAAAAGAAAACTTTCATAGAATAATAAAAAAATAATTAAAAAACACTACTGTAAAGGGTGCTCTATTTTTTCTGCCCATGTCTTTTTATTCTCACAAATTCGTTAACAAAAAATATAAAAATAATTGAATTTTGTTTTGTAATATTATATGTAAAAGCCGTAGTAAATAATATAATCAATATTGCTCTAAAAAAATATTCATACAGTATTTTAACCCATTTTTATTTTATTATACATTATTTAAAATACTTATCAAAGACAAAAATGATATGAAATTATCAAGAAAAAATATCTGTGAATTTTTTTGCTAATATTATGTGCATAGCAGAAAACAATAACGAAGTCTAGTATAAGTATAGAATAAAAAGTATATGTACTTGTATATAATTATTTTGTCCTAGTTCCTTTTGGGTTGGAGCTGCTGGATGCCGATGGAACAATCAAAATCACTCGCCACACTTAAACACTCTCCCGGTGGTCTCGAAATGGACGCGTGACGTCACATGGCGACGCCTGCAGAGCACTGAACACAATAACCTGTAGCTCGGAGGGCGATATCTGGAAAAGGGGAGCTGCATGCGGCGTCGCACTTACGCACCCTCATCCCCGCGACCGCCGCCCGCCACCCAAAAGCCGCCCCACGGCGAAACTCAAATATGCTACATGGCAACTGCATAGATTTATCACCAAGAACTGCGAACTATGAATGTTAAAAAACTGTTTCACCTTAAATGGTTTTCAATGTTTTACATTCGTTATGAGTTTCATAATTAAATTAATTTTCACATTTACTCCCATAAATTCGTTTCGCATAACTACAACACACTGTACTATTAACCAATATCATTGAGGATGCTTTACTTGATCTAAATATAGCAGCAAATTTATAGTTTGCTACGTTAATACATACTAGATGATTTAATACATTTTCTGATTTAGCTTATGTGTATTATCAATATTTATTATTAATATACAACAGAGTTTCTGAAATTTATTGGTACTATATGTAAGTAAGAAGTCTGATCATTTGAAGCAAATCAATTTTCGTGCCAGTTCGGCAACTCTTTATATATCTTCACGAAAAGCAATCAGATCTGAGTGGAAAGAGCGATAATCAGTTAGCGTGAGACTTGATCTTAAATAACTTCAAAACTGTTTGTCTTGTTGCATAATAATTTCATATCAATGAATTTTGATGTGGTGGTATGTCACAGTCCAGATAGACTTGGGAGAGTGAAAGATGAAATTTCCTTTTTAAAAAACTTATACCATCGTATGTGCAGGTCAATAAGCACTAAAAGGGTTTCATAAATAGGGTCTTAATTGTAAATTTGCATTTACTGGATATTTCTCTCAATATCTGTCCTAATTCAGAGCATTTTCATGTTTGGTACACACTTCACTACGTAGTATGTTATTGCAGCGTCAGTTAAGTTTGATATCTAAGTCATCGAACTAAAAATCAATAAAAGTTGGTATGCCTGGCACTTCATAAATTTAATTACACAAATTATATAATAATGATTATGAAAACAGAAAAACATTTACAATTTTTTTTAATATTTCGATTAATTATTCAAGTTAAAAAAAATACAAATTTATCGCAATACTTATTTGTAAAAGTTTATTTATGTAATAAATAATTATGAATTATGTACAATATGAAAACTTAAAAATTATTATAATTTTTGAAAAACTAAATATTTTATAATGAATTTAATATCCGCCCGTCCCTTTCACATTTCTGCAGCTACAGCTATTTTGATTTGAACATTTAATCTCTTATCTAGGTTGCATGCCGCAGTTCAAAGGACTCGAACATTGTTCGACATAATTAAACTCAACGGACCAATGACATTGTTGTAAACTGGGCGACGCAGGACTTTGACAATAGATTAACGTTGCTACATTATAAACCAAAATTAACATTATGAAAGGTTGTATGAATTTATATATTATAATAACATATATATTCATATAGTTTAGACACCTCCAATTTTGCACTTTTTTTATTCGACTGAACTTTTCGAATTTTCTTTAAGATTTTCCGAGTCTTTGATTATGTCTTTATTTTATTTTTATATTAAAGAAATTTATTAGTGTTTCATTATTATTATATTATTAAGAACATGTTTTCAGTATGTTAACTATGAATTGAGTTAATATACGTGCATTTATTGGTAATATAAATGTCTGTCATTGATTGGCATAATTGAAGCCTTCGTGATTATGTGCTGTATGTTAGATATAATCATAATCTTAATTACCTGAATAATCTACAAACTATTTATTTTTTCTTCATATATGGTTTGTGTATATAAATTAAACACGCATAACACTCTACTTAATATTTTCAAACGATTAATAATGATGCAATTGTTATATATTCTATCATATCATATAATATATCTTGTTTATTATACCATATAATATATCTTGTTCTATATTCTTAGTTAAAGTTTTCTATAAATTCCCAAGTACTATTTATAGCTGAATCATAATATAACATTTTTTAATCATTTGACAGATTTACGTCATGTTCAAAATGAAGTTTAAAAAACTAAGTTGAGCATAGACTCATTATTAAACAATTCTTCTACTATGAACAACTATTTGAAGTAAATTATCTTTTTCTGTATTATTTATTGCTATTTAATTTATTTATTGGTAAAAACTATGTCGGTCTCATTGGTATTTAATAATAACTTTAATTCATTACATTTTCTTGCCATATTTAGAAAATACTGTAATTGTGTATAAATGTTCTACTGAATTGTTGATGTTATTTCTAATTGATTTTATTATACATAGTATTTATTTTGTAATAATAATTTGATTTCAGGGAATATTATTGAATGAAATAGGATTTTACTTCTTCCTTGTGAATAGGAAAATGGTAATAGGTTGAAAATAGTATAGTAAGCTTATTTATTTTAGTTTAAAAAATACAAGTTACATAAATGTTTATAGACAAATACATAGTGTATATTTATTTTATAGCACCTTGTTGCACCATCCAATTGATGGCGGCGAACACATCGTAAACCATCGTTTTACAATCGAGAAGGAAGATTTATTGGAAAGCCCCGTTCGTACCGACACCGCGAAGGATTAAAATAAACAAAATAAAGTTACATATTAAAAACATAATTAAAAATAAAATTAGTACAAAGTAAATTTTGTTGATGCGAAGACCCAATTTTCCAGTTGCGTGTTGTCCTCGAGTGGGATGATCAAGTGAAAAATCGGTTCCCCGTTTGGACGCCCTCAAAATTTGTTTTGTCAATTTCGATTTTACCGCTACCAAAATTATATTAAAAAACAATATAAAATATATAATAAATTTTCGGTTATCACAGCTAGTTACTAAAAATTAATTCACTTCTCAATATATGCGATTTTTGCACAATTTCTAGCGTTTTAGGAATAATGAAATTGCGCAAAAGCCGTACAACACGGGTCGTGTATTTGTTTTCACTTTTAAATTATATTTAATAATATTGCATTACTTAAAATTGGGGCAGTATGTAATAATACATGGTCAAGAAATTGGCAGTTACTTGTAGCTTGCATCACTGTAATTGTCGGTGAACCAATTCTTGGGTGGTGGCGGACCCATAAAGCTTGTGGTTGCTTCGCTTCTGTATTCCTGCGAGCGGATTTGAGCGGATGCGCCTGGCATCTGGTGATGGATCATTTGGCTCGTTTGCCATGAGGAATGCGCACCACCCATACCCATACGAGTGCTTCTTTGGGACTTAGGAGTCCCTTCTGGTGTTGTGAATTCACTCGCGGTGTCATAACGAGACGGAGCAATCCATCTTTCTGTGAATTCACTTGCGGAACGCGCCAAGCTAGGCTGGCTCAATGATCTTGCCAGAGATGGATGATGCGATCCCATTTCGTGCTCGGAATCTTCGTAATATCTGGATGGATAATAGCTGGATACCTCCGACTGGCTATCACCGTGATCCATACGACCAAAGTCTACAATCATTTCAGACATTGATCGCAAATCCGCTTCACTTCTGTAACTGGACCGAGATGTTTTCCTTGATCTCGGTGGTAAATGTGGCTGAAGCATTGGTTCGGCTGTTAATGTTCTAGCCGAACTGCCACCATCAGAATCGTATTCGTACAATGTTGGAAGACTCGAGCGGCGGCTGCGAGTGTCCCATTCGTTCTTCTTTCTAAATCTGCTTTGGGATTTGGGTTTATCGATGGGCGTCAATATACGAATAATTACATCCCACTTTTGCGGTTCGAAAAGTTGCTCGTATCGGTGATCCATGCGGATCCTTTCGAAGTCCTCGCGGACTACAGCCTCGGTTAATAAGGTTCGTAGAGTCGATTCAGTTGTTATAACTTGGCGCCATTTAATTTTATCGGAATGAGTTAATTGCGAGTTGAACGTCTCGGCACTTTCAATGACTGGACCTTCCTCTTGTTCCGGCTGGAAGACACGGATCAATACGTTCCAATTAGGGACTTCAGGATTTTCAACTGGGATATTGTATGTGGATAAATAAGAAGTTGGTTTCGGTTGGCTCAAGTTTCCTACTAATTCGGGAGCATTCAATGGAAGCTTATTGTCTTGAATCGTTTGCGGCGGAAGACTCATGACAGCGCGTTCAAATTTAGGAGTTAATGTTAATCCAGAAGCCGAAGAAATATCTGAGAAGTTTTCCCATTCTGGCGGTTCCGGCATGTCGATCGGATAATTTTTAATTGTAACATCCCATTTCTGGTCTTCTACAGGTCTAGCTCTGCTATGATATTCGGTGATCAAGCGTTTATGGCGTTCAATATCTTCGATAGTTCTCTTCTCTGTAATTGTACGTAAGAAAACATCATCAACAACGTGAGATGAAATTTCCGGCTTGTGTACAGCTGCGATTGGTGGTTCCAACGGTATTACAGCATGCGAGCGCATCGTTGTTTGTTTCGGAATGATTGGTGGAGGTGGTGGTGGAGCAGGTGCTACAAATCTGTTATGAGAGTCATCCATAATTTCGGTAATCGAGTGGGTATCAGTCATCTCCGTATTTAACGAAGCAATCGATCTAGCTGGTTCGTGAAGTTCCTGTTGCCTTCGTAAAATTCTATTGTATGTTGGAGCAGGTTGTACGTGTTTCGGAGGTGGATGTAATTCCGGAATATATGTAAATTGAGTCCTTTCAGCCATAGCTGGTGATTCCAAAGACCTTACACTCTCTTCTCTTTGCTCCAAAATAGTGGAAAGATTCCTCTCAGTTCTAGCAATGGAGCTCTCTGAATCTGATAAATTAAGACTGGATGGTGGACGTGGTGCCATATCCTTAACACGGACTTGTACATCAAATCGTGGCTGATCCTTGATTGCAATTGGAAGTCTGGGAACCATACCTTGCGTGGCAATAGCGTTGTGCGCGCTGTGTTCTTGCGTATGACCATAACCCTCGCTATAAAAACTACTGTTGTCTTGAACGAATGCTTTATTTTCGAAACTACCTGCGGAAGAAGCTGGCAGTGAACGCGTGTCTACGTCTTCTATTTCCGAATGAGATTCAGATGGGTAATCAGATGGCAATGTATCACTAATAAGTGGACCATCGCTTCCTGAACTACTTGGAGCAGCAGCAACAGGAACATGAGCACGAGGAATTTTCAAACCATCAAACATCGAAAGATTTCCTAAAATTACAAAAAAACAATTAAAACGATATCGAATTTGATTTTTTTTTATTTTACCTAATGAACTTCCAGAAAGTTTGGTTATTTCGGAACCACTTCCTACTGAGCTAAATGGATGCCTGATGACAGTGACATGACGTTTCCGTAAACAATAATAGGAACATCCCAAACCTAATAGGAGCAAGGATAAGAAGAGAATTGCGCAGATTATTAAAAGAATTTGAAATCCTTTCAGCGGTGGCTCCACCACTGGATTTGGAACTAATGAATCTTGACTGCAAAAATACATAAAAAATTAATTGCAAGTAGTTGAATATGGACTATATTATTTACATGAAGCTTGGAAGTCCAGCTGGTATTGGCGTGATTGGTGGTGGATATCTGCATACAATAGTGATAATCTCATCACCGTCCATTTCTAAACCGGGGTGGAACCTCACTACGATGTTGTTTGTGAACACACGTTGAGGATCCTAAAAATAATGTTTTTAAACATAATTAAATCAAATAGAGTAATATTAGAAAAAAGTTGTTGATTTATTTTCTGTTATTTTATGTATCGGTTTCCGAACAATATTCCGAAAAATATTATTAGGATTATATACGACAAACGAGGTTTCAATGTAATTAAAATAACTTACTTGTTTTGTTCCGCATCCTTTCAATGGCAAATCAATTTTGTAACTATTGTTTCCTTTTCCAGCTATTTGACAGGCTGAATTTCTGTCAAAGTCAGCGTAAGCAATGCCAAAGAATTTATCGTTAAATTTGAGTTCGACCTGCATCGAACCTGCTGCACAGTTGAGAGTGGCCTTGGTGCGGTTAAGAAAAATCACGGGACTGAGGTCGTCCAATTTGGTGACTTTCCCGTCCAATGTTGCTTGTTCTGGTAAGCCATCGCCGATGTATTCGATGTTATTAGCTTGATTAGCATAATTCGATTGTCCTATGGCTACTGCAGCCAAGCCCAGAACCAACGCAGTGACTAGATTGCAAGACATCCTGAAACAAAGGCAATGTTTAACTTAAACGTCCATCCGTTTTCCTTTTATCTTTCAAGATACATATATTTGTAAGCGACTCATGAGTTATATGTTGCAAGAGCCATTAATTTCGAATATTCTTATAATTAAGCGGAAAGTTTGTGATTGCTTATTATATAGAGGCCGAACATAAATTAAACGCGAACAGATTATAATGAATAGCCACAATTACTTAGTTATATGTACCTATAGGCCTTGCTGCAATAACTTCAAGTCTATAGTACACGACTTTTTTTATAACCAACTAGTTTGGATTATCATAAATTTAACTATTCAAGATTAATAGATTGTTTTTTACGTGGTGGAACATATTAATTAAATATTATTAATGATATAATTAATGTTACACAGGTTTTCTTTTCGTCCGGATAAATTGCCAGCCCCTCGTCCGAGCTTTGATCTCGTTGACAATAGGGCTAAAACTTAACTACGCGCTTGAATATATCTTTGTGCCCAATAAGTTTTTCTTATTGTCATCGTTTCTTCAATGTGTCCACGCTGTAATAATGACTGTTAATAAATTAAGGCCCCGTACATAGTTGCTTTTTTAATATTTATTTCTTCGCTTTTCATTCTCTGCTTCTCTTTACTGCTCGTATTCTATGCTCGGCCGTAAGGATATAAATGATTGAAAGTCGCTATCCTTGGACACAAATAACTAGGCGACAACTTGAGGTATGTGTATTTGCTAACTCAGTTTTTTTTATTCATATAAAAAAATCGGATCTCCTTTGTGTGAAACCGTGTAGGTTTGCAGCGCTTATTAAGTTTGTTCCAATCGCTTAGATTATTATTTCCTCTACCATGTCTCAATAATTCTTTGTTATTTATATTTATTATAATTCATTTTTTTTCAGCAAGTTTAACTTTTATTATTTAATTATGATATAGATTGTACATAATATAGTCTATTATAATTTTAAACTTTGTGTAGACTCTTGGTAAATATATAATTAGAAAGCAACTACAATTCCTTTCACAAAAGACTTAATAATACTTACATATATTTATTAAGAAGAAAATTATATTATATTTTTTTTTAATACTATTATTAAATGATATCTATTATGTTTCTTCTAATTTTCTATTGGTATAAAATTATATATTATATTAATAATGAACGATAATATTGAATTTTCTTGATCGTAATCCGTATTTCAATTATCAACGTATTTGTATTTTTATTAAAGAAATAATAAGTCAATGTTCGCATAATGGATGTTGGCATTTAGAATGGAATAGAGCGCATAATTGAAAGATGATTATACAATTAGAAAGAACACCTTGATTTGCTAGAGTGATTTGCACAATCCGAAGACGCCTACTATGAATATTATAAATCCCGGTGTGACCATTTAAAGATGTTTTCATTTAATAATGTTAAATAATATAACTATGCCTTTATTTCATATTACTTTTTATAATAGACACAAAGAACATCTGTCTATATCTATTTTTACCAGAAAAATATATTTTAACCCTATGGCACAGATTCAGTCCAATAAATACGTTTAAATAAAATAAATTAAAAGAAATATATTCCAATATTACATTTTAATTGTCAATTTAAAATAAATGCAATGAAAACATTTAAAATATTTAAGTTGAAAGTTAGTTTAATATATATATAAAATATTGTCAAAATAAATTGTATCCATCTTCTACATGTACGACAAAAGTTGAGTAAAATCTTCTGGGTTGAATGAATGACCGGAAACAAGAGATTTGCCACCGTAATAATTCTTAATACCGCTTTTACATAATACACACGACTTAAGGACTTTATTGTTGATGGATAATTATGATAAAAAGAAACTGTTATTATTACTGCTATCTTAAATTTGTACTTTTTTATTGCATCCAGGTATTATTAGTAATATCGAGTAAAATAACTAAAGTAATGAAAAATAAAATTTGATTTTTTTTGCAGTTTTTGCAGATAATTTACAATTAAATAATTGTAAATTATCTGCAAAAACTGCAGGACCTGACCGCCGTAAATCAAATGACAGTATTACCAAATAAAAATTTTGCTTAATTTTATTGGTAATGAAATATCTATACATAAAATACTTTATAAATTATTTAATTTGACTGATCATCAATTAAACATATTTTTGTTTGTAAGGCATTGAGAAATAATGTATTGAAGAGAAGATTTGTTTTTTACATATTTTTTCCAACATTTTACAAACTCTTTCTTGCGTTAATGAACAGATTCCAAGAATCCTTCCATGAAGTCTTTTTTAAGCATCCTTAATGGATTGCTAAATTAAAAATCCTGTTTTTGGCGAACGCGCACACAAATAGAAATCCGGTTCTTCGCCGAAAAAGACAAATACGTGAGAGAACAATAATAATAATAAAAATTAAAAAAAAAGTTTCTACCCAAGTGGAAAAGGCAAACAACTTGTCGGTATGTCCCTGATTAAAATTTATCAATCGCCCACTGTATACATTTCGCGCACGTCGAATTTCCGTGGGCGTCGTTAAAAGGTTTCTGACTCACGAGTCAATACTGTATTTCCATAAGTTGCTGCCAGTGTTTTTCGATTTTCTAGAAAATTAGAAATTTCTAGACCGAGGTAATAATATTCCATCCCACGAATGCGAGATCTTCTTTGGCCGTCGATGATTTGTGTATAAGCGTCTCCCGTGTAATTTATAGTACAAGTCGCACTGCTTGATGGAAATTATTTATAAGTGGTGTATATGAGGCTCGTTTTGAAGATTGTACATGAATATCATACCTTCAGTACAGGACAGATTGTAAATTATTTATGTCCAGATAGGAGAATGATTAAAAATGATGCCAAAGGGGCCTTCTACATGCTATAAAGCCATTGGATTTACAGTGTCGTAAAATTCAGAACGTTTTCATATCGTAGCCAAAGTAAAATTAACGTAACTCTGCTATTCGAATTGCCGATGAAGAAAGATCGAAAAGGTCATTTTACTACATAATAAATGTATTTGAAAAAAGAGTCGGGCACATCTGGTTGCATATTTTCTCTGTATTTAGTTTCTATTATTCAGAGCGCACGAAAATGAATACATTCATTAAACAAGTTAATTCCAGAAACTTTCGCACACAGATTTCTATGGAACATAGTATAATGCTCTACAGTTTCTAACGTTTGTCTTCATTTACTACTTGCACTGGTAAAATGAAATTATTGCCAACTGTGTTTATTATCCATTCATAAAGTTATTTATATTTTTCTATAAAATTAAATTCACTTTTTTAGTTTTCTTTCTAATATAAACGATGACCCTATTTCCGAAAAGAATTTAGTTTTCACGATAGGAAAATCAATATGTATTTTGTAAAAAAAAATTATACACGAATTACTGTTGCCAAGATTTAAGTAATATATCTTCTGGGTTTCGGGAATGGATTATTCACGTTATATTACTTCCAAAAGGGAAAATTCTTTAGATTTCAGTTTTCGAACAAACTGTCAAATTTATGTTCGACAACCGAACTTAGACTATATATTATTTTATTATATATACCTTATTCCATGTATCTGATACCTATTTGTTATTTTGTTTATTAGTTTATTATAATATTAATGTTGAATTTTTTTTCATTTTCAATCAATTTTATTATGAATATTCGTTAATAATTTGATGTTATTTTTATTAAAAATTATATTTTTTTTTTCAATAAACTATAACAAATATGAGTGCATAATTAATAATGTTGAAGAATACTCTACCTACGAGAATATCGCAAACCACCTACTTTAACCTCACTATATCTATTTAGTGTTATGAAATGATTTTCCAAAAAAAGAACTGTATCATAATTGTGTTCAATTGCATCATAGAGGATAAAACATCTGTTCAGATTTTTTATAATTTTTACAAATCAAAATAATGAGGGCAAAAAGACCTAGATCGATTAGGACCAATCAAAATTTGTAAATAAATAAAATAAAATATTTAAGCAATAACATTTCCAAAAACCACACCTGTTTTGTAGAAATTTTATAATATTTATTAAATATATATGTAAGTAAAAAATCGGGTCAAGACCATTGTTAAAATAGATATTCCATTAACTTTTTACATGATCTATTGGAATTATTATTTCATGTTTGTATTTAAACTTTTCAGGAATGAATTTATCAAAGTAATCTATTTAAATGATCAGTAATATTATAGTTTTATTCCTGAAATACATGTAATGCATATGTAGATATATAATTATTTATCGCTCGAGTGGTTGTAATAAAATAAAATATGTACTGTATTGCGTGGGGGTCATTTGGGTGTTCGGCGTTTTTGCGAAGGTCGAAAAATGTGGGACGAGAACGAAACCATGTTCTTCAGAAATACCATCATCATCCAGTTATAAATGTTTCAGACGGATTAATCTTCGCGCTTTTTCCAATCCGAATTTATTTGGCAAGCTGAGAGTTTAATTTACCACGCCGGTCTTGCCTCTTTCTCACTCCCGCTCTTTCTTTCTTTTTTTCTCGTTGTTGGTTTACTGGGATCTCTCCATTGCACACATTGTATATATCGTGCTTCTCTTTTTTTTTTCCAAGCAGCAGCCTCTCGTGTTTATAAACGACTCTCGGATTAATATTAATAAAGATATAAATTCAAGATATTATTCTCCGCTCCCACTTTGAATCGCCAAATCGATTTTTAATTTGAAACGTAAATGTTTTCATTTCTGTTTCAATTTAATATATAACGTGGATAAACCATGATATTTTAAATTGGAACAGGGATGAGTGGTTTAATTGAAAATATTGTTCGTCCGATGTACTCAATTTAAAATATATTTTTATGAACTAATAATACTTCATATAAAATTATTGAGTTTAAAGTTAATAAATTTGTTATTTAATTTCATACAAAAATATGATGAGAAATTATCTTAAAAGTAGATTCTTCTGGTCTTTATAATGTTCAAAAAAAATGCAAATAAACTTATTTTGCTTAACTTTAGTAAAATTTGAACATGAAGCATCCGGCAAAATTTGCAATTCACAACAGTGAGTAGTTATAATAAGAAATATGTAAGCATTTATAAAAAAAATAGATAAAAGAAGAAAAATAATAAACTTGTATACGTGGGCATCGATTCGGTATAATATAAGTAATGCATGCGTGCGTTGATTCATTGCATACCGGGGTTTATGTATGCGGCTGAGGTCGAAAATTATTGATACAAAGTACATAGGAATGGACGTAATAAATATGATTTAACACCAGTAATAATACAATCTATGTTATATAAATATATCATGTATTAGGTCACCTAAGGCCGTTGCTGTCTAGTTATCTTCTGGCGAGAATATGTACATGCATGCATATACGAAGAAAGATATACACCCATATGGGATGCGGATTTGTATGGGGTCGAAGAGATATTGAGCTCATTAGAGAAAATGTTTTATAATGGTTGCCCATAATGTTGGGCCATCGACGACCATATATCAACTGCATACGAATATCCTCCGCTCACCCGACCAATAGACACCTCAACTACCATTTATGTATAATCGCGCATACCTATACATCGAACCGTCTCATTTTTATCAAGAACTTCTGCCCACACGCTCACGTTACGTGCAACCATCCATTATTGTAATGTAATTAAAATAGTTGCAGGTATTATTTAACATATGTAAATCTAATTTCTTCATTCATATTAATTTATGTAACACTTCGTATCAATTAAATATGCTTGTCATATAGTTATTATTTTAAAAATTAGTCCATATACTGAAAAATATACCACATTGGGACAATAATATGTTACTACACAATTGCCAATATAGTGAAACCTCGCTTAACGAGTTTAATCCGTTCCAAAATTTCCAGATTTTTATTCGTATAGTGCAGATGAGTCCAAACTTTTTGCTGCGAGGGCCAGTTTGGTATTTAAATTCATTAGCGGGGGCCAAGCATTGTAAATATGTGAATTAAAAAACCTTATTACAAGTAAAGCAGCATTGAATTTTATTTTTTATAGTAAATTACAGATATAACAATACTAAACAAACATGTCTAAATTATATTATTATATGGGTTTTTCATCTGCGCGAGATCTAACGCCGACGCGCGACGCTACATTTATATTTTACGAAATTTTTCAAAATACTTGGCGGGCCGGATAAAATCGCCTGCCGGGCCGGGTTTGGCCCGCGGGCCGTAGTTTGGACACCTCTGGTATAGTAAAACACGTTTTCCCATATAAACTAATGTAAATTACGATAATGCGTTCCATGTTGGAGAAAAAAAGTATAACTTGAACTCGATTTTTTAGGATTTTGCTTTTCATATCTATAGTTATTTTATTATAAAAAATCACAAATAACATGTCTGAACACAATTTTGTAAATTTTGTGATCACAAACAACACTAAGAAAGCGTACATAGTGTATTTATATATTATAATAATGACTGGACATTTACAGCAAACACAAATTATATTTGCAAACTATAGTCCCCTTTAAACAAAGATGACAAAGAAAATCGAAGAACGTTATCGCTCGTTAGGCGAGTCATTTTTCTTACAATTCACTTTGCTCGTTAAGCGAGGTTGCACTGTATCTCAAAATGTAATATACAGTTAATTTTCACAAATTTAATTAATAGTAATAACAATAATTTATAGAAACGACCATTATATAATTATATATAATTACAAACAAAAATGTATGAAATACAAATACTTAAGTTGATTGATATGTTATCAACTTAAGTACTAAATAAATACAGAATTCTTATTTAAATTACATTCAGTTTTTGATATATTTGTATTATATATCTTTTATTAATAGCTTATTTAATTGTAAATATCATTCCACTTTTATATTTGATTTTTATCACCAAATTGCCTTATACTATTGAAGGTTGCATCAAATAAAATGTATCGTTTTTGTGCGCCGATAATAAGACCTTCGCTTATACTTCTATGAAATACAAGACATATTGATACAAACTATCATAGTTATAGTTTCCGGGTCATATTCTTAGTATCGCGACATGAACAAAACAAATATACCATGAATACCTTGAGAATAAGCAAGAACTATAACTCTGTAGTAGATAAAGGAAATGTAGAAATCTGATAGACTAGTCACTAGTGTAGTGGTATATTTTAGTAAATGAATGTGAATGAAAGTGTTCAGTTATTTCAAGAAAAACTATTTATTCTATTTGTTATAAATTGACAATTTATTGTATTATACATTCTTAAGTTATTATTTTAAACTCGTACTAAATAAAAGTATATATTTTTACTAATTTTAAAAACCTTTAGTAATATCTATATTTTGTGATAGATCTTCTCGAGTATAAATGATGAGATTCGTTTTTATATAAATATATGTTATGTTAGTACTTGGTATTCATTTATTTTTTTACTATGTATGCGACAGCCAGATACCATCAAAGAGAATATCAAATTTCCTATTAGAAAATAACATATCAACAATACATTTTTGTTATTGATGATAGGAGTAGATATGCACCAAGTGCGTTTTATTATAATAGTTTCCTCAATATTTTCTTTCTTCTATAGTTTGTATAATATCATGTAATATCGTATAAGTTACTTCGAGAAAAGTTTCGCAAGACTCGTTTGCTGCGCAACTTTTAAATGTCGTTACGTCCAACAGACTTTAAATTATATTAGAATAATTCATAAATACTTGGAATTTTTGTACTTATTAAAAATAATTAGTAAAATTTAATAACGATTATTATGTTTTTTTATTGTTATATTTTAAATATTATGATTATACTTTCAATAATATGTTTATTATATAACAAAAAGTTTAGCACTTTGGCGGAATGTAGTTTCTAATTTCATTTAATTATTATTTAGCGAATAATAAGAAAAGAAATTTCACTTTCTTTATTAATATTATTACTAAATATATAATATATATATTTGACGATATGCTTTTCGGCTACACAAGGTGTGGTTATATAATAAATAATATTGGTTATAGGTATGCGAACAATTTGATTATCATATTTAAAATGAATGGTAATATAAATGAACTTTCAATTCGCAGATGAAATGATTAATAATTCGTTTCGAGCAGAAAACGAAAGTGCTTGGCCCGAATTGGGGTCAGCCAATTCTCGTCGGCCGTGCTAAGGTAGCAAATACTTTCATTTTCTATATGAAGACATCCTTACCGAGCCGCTTACGAATTTAAGTTCATTAAAATTTTTGCATTACGAATTACAAAAAAAAAACAACGAAACAGATGGTTGGTCCTCAGATCGAGAACAGATATTAAAACCAAGTAAAATGTTATTAAAAGCTGCCCAAAAATAAGTTAATAAAATTAATGTAATAACCAAGGAACGAAATGATTGTTTTTTTTTGTTAATACGTCTATTTAAAAATATCTTCGAGTCAATGTTTGGTCGATTCCATAAAACATATTTTTACCTTTCTTGTCTCTCGGGGCACCGCTTGTTTACCTATTAAGACCTTTTTATATGAGCATCCACGACATCATCGGCTCTCCGCCGTTTCTGTATGTACCCTGAAACAAAGAAATGTCAAGTGATTAGCGACGAGACCACATATCTTCAAACTGGTTTTTGTAAAAAAAAACAAAAAATATATATATTATATATATAAAAATAAAATACCGCTCCTTTCTGGCCATGAACGTCGTTCATTTCCAGCAAGGTGATTTTAGAGATATTTTTTTTATAATTGCAAATTAGTATCAATTTAATTGCATTCACAATATAATTTTTGACTGTCAGCCACCCAATATCTATATCCAATTATATTATACCAACCTCCATTAACAAACATAGCGGTGTGACTACAAATGTAAATGTATACATTAGTGGTCATCGAATTAAGGAAAATATTTACATTAATTAAAGATAATCTAAATCATTTTTACTATATTTATATAGTAATATATCCATTCCAGTTTTGAGAGATAAATAAATTGTATAACAATAATAATAATAATACCATATGCACAAATATGAAAGATTTTGCGTAAAATGGGGTTATAAATTGCAGACTTAATGATAGGAGTAGATAATATATCGAATCTTTGTTGCCACATGTAATATTAACCCAAGTATGTATTAATAAAATGTTGAAGGTTGTTTAAAGATGCACCACAAGAGCTTACCTAATATTTTCATCAAAATTACATAATTATAAACATATCAGGAACGCAGGAAGTTTCAGAAATAGAATTTAAAAAAATTAGGTTTACATTACAAGTTATAAATAATTTAGTAGATTTTCATTGGACTTAATTTTCTTAAACTTTAACAAATCATTTCATTCTTGAATATTCTTTAATTTATTATTTTTCTTCTAAATAAATATTAAACGAATGAAACAAATAAAAATAAATAAATAATTAGTTTCGCAGATAATTTTTACATGAACTATAGAGTCAAGTTATTATAAAATAAATCCTTCTGTTACGTGCGCATTGAACCTATAAATGCACTTTATGAATTATGATTAATCTTTCAAGAAATACAAGATAATTTCCTAGTAACCATAATTTATATGTGGCTAGTTATTAATTCTTTAGTTTCATATGCAATCTGTCTACATGAATAATGGAACATTCTATAAGAAATTATATTTAATTTGAGTTTATAAATTAATAATTGCATTATTATTTAAGAAAAACTATGCAGAATTATATTATAATTATTACTTAGTTACCCTCAATGTACGTTTGTATTAGTAAACTAATACTTTTTATATAGAAATTGAGATATAAACAAACAAAACTTGAACTATAAACAAAAATAGTAGACACTAGATTCATTAAAACACTCACACTCATTTATGTAAAAAACGTATGCTCTGACAATTTATATAAAAAAAAATATAATAATACGTTTCAGTATTTTGCGTTTTTTTTTTTTCATTTTTTAGTGAATTTAAGAGACTTGCTTGTGTGAAAATCCTCTCCATTGTAAAAATTCCATAATAGATTTTTAATAGAGTAAACGCATGCAATGCGATTCAATCGCACTTGAATATTATGCAATCAATCTTCATCAAGTCTCGAAGGAAGTAACCCCTAACCCTGGAACATAATAATTCATAGCCATTCCATTGTGAGTATTGTGCTTACATTCAAGACGACATTCCAATCAATTCACAATGCGGTACATCTAATATTTCAACGTACTTATACATGCATCATCTTATTACAATTATTCCATCACATATATTTCTCATTATTATTGATTGCTTTTTTACAAAATATTATGCATGTGAAATAGTTTATAAGATGTGAATAGAATGAAATTTATAACTCATATCTGCTTGTTGCGGAATACGTTTACTTTGAGAATTGTACTAATTTGCATTAATGTTTTTTTACAGTTGACGCAATTCATGGGAATTCGTATGTCTCGAGATTTAATTATATTTTTCATTGGAAACATTCCATCTACAAGTTGTGCGAAAACTGCAAGATTAACCTTATACACTTTTGAATTTCATTATTAAATTTTAATATTTAGTTCATCTCAAATATTAACAATATTTATTGATTCAACTTAACTATTACCTATTTATTTAATTTTTATCTCATAAAACAATCAATTCAATACTATTATACTATTAAATATTCAGATGATGCAATTTGCTAGTAATAGGAAACTAAATATGATTCTAATTTTCCTATTGTTATTTTTCTCTGCTGCGTAATTATATCACAGAAAACAAGATTTAAATACTCTTTCGTGGAAACAAGATTTACTACAAAAAAATTGAAACGATTTCTACTGCTATGACATCACTTCCGTTTGCAGTGGAACAAAGCGAGCAAGGCTGTATGCACACATTAAATACAATTGTTCCTACGTTTAATGGACAATTCTCTTTTCTTTTACTTTGTTTTTGTGCGGTGTTTTGGAAGCTCGTGAAATTGGGTTAGCATACGTGAAACGTCAGAACGTTCCACATTTTCATTTTCGGAAGGAAAAAATTCGCCAGCACAATGTTCTCATATGAATACATCGAGTTTTTCCTCAACATCTTTCATCATACGGCCAATTAATATAGAAATGCTTCATCGGAACAATTATGAGCATCTATTCAATTCAGACTTTGTGGTGAGTCTATCGCCTTGACTTTGTTTGTGCTTTGTATGAAGTGTCTTTGCATGAATCACGAAATTAGGTGAAAAGAATATAATAGCTGCGGCTGCAGGTTTCGTAACACTTTTTGAGTAATAGCACCATGAATATTACCGTGGCTTCATATCATTGTAAACAGGATCTATTTAGGTAGAATTCAATAAAACAAATTATGCAATCAATGCTTTTATCGAATATTACAAAAGTAAAGCAACGTTTGCGGTGGATACTATTTAAGTTCGTGATCAGTTAATTAGCCTATGATCTAAAACTGATACCCTAAATATAAAATCCTATTGTTATTTTATGCTTCAAACTTGGTTATAATTTAAATTAATTTGTCATTTTCAAAACATTATGAAATTAAAATAGTATATTATTTTGAAAATAGATTCATTTGTTTGTAAACTAAATTATTATATTATGCATTTTATTTTGTTCCAGAAACTCGCTAATGTACTAAGTGCATCTGTTAATTAGTAACAACAAGATAATTTATACAAGACACATGTATGATTAATTTAAATTTAAATTATTGGGCAATCATTTAAATATTTCAATATTTCTTGCAATTAATTGGTCATTTGCGTTTACAATTATTCAGATTTAACATAATGTATCTTTTTTTGATAGTATGTATAGTATTTTTAATTATATTTATTATTCATTATTTTAATCATAATTTTATTTATAATATTTATGCATTTTTATAAGTTCATTCTAACATTTTATGTATGTGTTTATCGTTTAAATTCCAGTTTGAAATAAAAAAAATATTTTTGTGATAAATATCACATCAATATTTAAGAATTGTTTAAATTAAATGATATTGGTAATAAGTACCAATAATAAGATTTAGTGCAACAATTATGTAACAAATATAATTAAAGACATGCTTCATCGGGCTATTTACTATAGGTTATTTCTTTAATATTAATTAAGTAAGCATGGATATTGTATACAAAGACTAATAATGATTAACTATAATAAAGTTTGAGAAATTTATAAATTCCGTCAATATTATGAAATATTTCTAAAAGTAGAAAGCATAACAAATTATTAACGCTAATTATTATATTATACGCTTCGATCATTTTAAAATATTTAAAGTCATTTAAAAATATTGAATCAAAGAAACTACTACTAGATATTTGCACAAAATTTATTTAAAATAGTGTTTTCTGTACTTCTGGAAATTTCGATAAAAACATTATTTTATTTATTTTACTCGTTTCAAATTATGGAAAAAATATCAGAAAATTTTAAAATTATGTTGAAACATGTAAGCAAATAACATCTTACCAGTGCGTACAATATTGTTGATATAATGATTATTATTACAATATGGAGATTTAAACAAATGCAATTTGCAATGCAAAAAGAAAACGATATTTTTGTTGTGAGGAAACAAAGAGTTCTATCACGGCTCTGGCGGATATAAGTAGTTCGGCCGCCAAAGTAAATCTAATTTGCGAGCACAGAAGCAGCAACAATGGAAGTCTCATTATCGTTACCTTGATGTCTTTCTAAGTAATTAGACGCAGCAAATAACAAATTGTCGATCAAGTTTAAATAAATCTTGAACTTCCTCGAGATGAAAAAACGAACAGAGCGAACCCAATCGAAATGAATCTACGTTGATTGGTTGGCGTTACGTAAGAGACGCGCGTGTTGTATATGCAGGATACGCTCGTGGAATGTTAAAATTATGATAATGGTATGCCGAAAAGAATATCTTGGAAATCACAAAATCTAATGCCGAGATATTCATGAGGCGAGCTTAAAGTGGAAAGGATGATAAAAAAGAGGTACAAAAAAAATGCAGACGAATAAAAAGAAGACGACCCGAGGAGATGCCGGTATTTCTCTTTTCTAGCGAAGAACGCAAAGGAGATTGTGGCGTTACGTAAGACGGGACGGCGAAAGTGACCGGTGCCCAATTAAATCGAACTTTTTCCATATGGATTAAAATTAATTTGTCTACACTACACTACCTTATTTTAAATATATAAATAAAACAATAATTACTATAAAATATGCTACGTATCATTTTACTCGAACGAATATTATTATGTATGAAAAAGAAATGTATGGCGCCAAAGCTTTTACTGTTATATTCTAAATGAGTTAATTTAGTTTTCATGTGTACTGGGCATGTATAATGTTTAGTATAATAAAGTGTGTTGTGGAAATATGCAGCAAATGTTGCAGAACAAGTTTAATGGTGGCGTTGCACGTGCCACAAACGCCAAGATTTTCACAAAACAAAGAAGCAAATGTGTCTCCGCTTCATGTTCGAATAGCCCACCGGGTTTCAGCATGACTTTACACCTTAACACATACAATATGTATCACAACGAAGAATTATTCTACTCCGTCGTATGTATATTTTTCAAGATAAAATATTATAATAATGCTTAGAAAACTTGTACGTATTTGATAAAACATATATCTTATTTAATATTTCCAATTAATAAAATATTAACACTTATTGTAACAATTTATCAGAAAATATATAAAAAAATAAAAATAATCTTTAAATATTTCATGTAAAATAAACAAAACGTATGTTTCATGTTTGATGTTGATGTTTTTTTTTACATATAACTGTTGTTGTGAAGTCTGTGATCGATTCCTTTTGCTATTCGGGATGTAATAGAACGCTATTCGTTTGTTATTCATTATTCCAAACATAGAGAAGGACTGTTTCTAGAATCCGGCCTTCTTTCAGGTGTTCCAATCTTTGTTTTACCATCTTAGTGCATCGTGCTTGGAATACAATTGCGACGAAGCTAAGGCCATTTCTAAGTTATTTTTTAAAGGGTCGTGTAGTACTTTGATAATTATATAAAGAATATTAATATTTTTATCGCATAATAAAAATCTACATATCATGGAATTTTATATTTAAAAACTAAAATTTAAATATGTAAATGCTTGATATTTTAAACTATTGTTGTGTAAAAAAAACTATTACATTAATTAATAAAAAATTATCGACCCTAGGATAAGCATCGAAAGGGTCGCAGAAATAGATATTTATATACAAATGATCAACAATTTACATAATATAAATAAATAAATCAAAATATTAAGACGAATTAACAAAATAAAGAACAATACCATTTTTTTTTTAGATTATAATCATTGTATTTTTATTATTTATTTAGTTTTAAATACTATTGTAGAAAAATAAGCATTACATTTGATTTTATGTACACTAGACAGTGAATTTTTAATTAAGAAAAAGTTGTTTAAGTGAAAATATTAAACATTCTTAATGAAATTTGGATTTAGACACTTAATAGTAAAATTCATTATAAAAAAACTGCACAAACCACTTAATTTTATTATTATTGCCATAACATATTCATGTAATATTTATTTTATGAATTATGCTGTGCTAGTAATCCCAATGCTATCAACTGTTATATGTGCTAGATTTATGATTTACTCATTGCACAAAACACGCTAAACTTTTATGAGCGAAAACAAACAAATGCAACAAAACATTTGCTCTTTAAGAAATCGATGCAAGTGAACTTCCATTGAAAGATCAATTGCGGTTTCCGTTCATAGGAGATCTCGTTCATTCAGCTCAACAAGAATCAAAATACGGTTAATATCATGTCGTATTAAATATCCGACAACAATGCGTTTATCCTACAAAGAATAATTGGACTTTCTCGCTTTCTAACTCACCTTTTATTGAGTAACAAATAATGATCACACGCACCCGAAAGTCGTCGTCTCTTCAATACCTGTGGGAGGAAAAAAAATACTATGGATTAGTTTCATTGTTGCATGTAATAAACATTTAAAGAAATTACTGTATGTAGCGAAAGTGTTTAATACTATTCATCTTTTACTTTCACGCTTGACGTTCAGATTTGATTGTATGCATTCTATTTGTAATAATAAAGTGAACAATTAGTATGCACCGTATAGATAACACATGTAGAAATGCTTACTAACGATAATAATAAAATGAGTTTTGATGCATTGTTCTGAACAAATGTATTTTCATCACGTCACATTTTTGCAAGCCATTAAAATACGTTTGCCACAATGTATATATATGACGTTATTTATTTTTATAACGTGATTCACGTTTAGGTGTGTATGCAGGTATGACAAACATACTAAGAATTGACAATTCTATTCATTCCTTCTAAGTCTTCTAATTCGTACTAATATATTTTATAATATTGGAACATATTAAGTAACTTTTCATACTCTACCCACTCACACTTTCCAAAATTAAAAACATTAAAATAGATGTAATATTTTTTATTAGAAATTCATATAAAATATCAAAAAAATCTCTGATTGTAATTCTGAAATGGAATTTTTCAACTGGAATTTTCTAATCTTCTTATAAAACTATTCATTTTTATAAACATTTGAAAAATAATGCTTTTCTTTCATTCATTTTAATTAAGTTCTTTTAAAAAAAATATATTATGAAAGAGTAATTTTATTTGGTTCAAAAGTTTTTTTCTAAATAAATTTAGTACACAAAAATTGAAAATATTATTTTATTACTTATTATATTCTATAAAGTAGAAAACTTAGATGCAATGACCCATAGTATAAAACAATTGCGTTATATAATAGTATGAAAACGAACAGAGCACAATAGTAAATAGTGTTAATATTCACATTTCATATTTCCGTTATTGTGAGCGACATGTTGATAAACATCCTGTTGTTCTGCACTTTCCAATATCACATAGCATTGAGCTTGTTAGAGGTAAACTGCTGTTTCGCTCTGTATAGAAACAAGAAACAGCAGGATCGACGTTTAATCTCGCAGATTTAAATTTAATTAAAACACCTTAATTACTGACATCGAATTTATGCGGCCGCAAAAACAAACAGGGTAAGCGGAGTAAGCGAAAACAGAACGGAAAATAGAGAAAATATTAATGGTAATCCCCGTTCCATCACGGCTTTAATTTTACCCCGAAGATCTTGGGGAACAGATTGCATCACGTTCGCAACCGTATCATCCGTTTCCAGTTGCATTCCGCGGCGTGACTTTACTTAATCTCCTCTCGACCATTATTATTACGCCGGTATAAAACTGAAAATAGATAATCCGAGGCCGGTTCACTTCAGATCGGAATGTTTTGCTGCTAGTTTCCTGTTCTCCATATAACGTGTCTTTGCTAACTTGAGCTCAGCTACAACGTACATTACATATATGATTTCGAAGTCATATGCAAAGAAATCAAGGTGCATTCAAATCTAATTTCATTCCGCGAATATTCAGTTACATTTCTATATGGGAATTGTGAACATAGTTAACTCGTAAATACATATAAATATAGACCAATTTACCGGGAACTAAAAAAAAAAGATTGTAGAATATATTTATTTAACGTAATCACAATAACTTCTAGCTTTAAAAGTTGTCCAAACTGAAGAAACACGCAAAAACGAATATTAAAAATGGAAGTACAGCAAAAATATGTTATAAAAAATAATTCTATTAAAAGTAAATAAAAGAAATCAAAAAAAAAACAATACAAATTTGTGATAATCAAAATCTTTAGCGAGATAAACACGATATTTTTTTAAAATAAAATTATAAAGGTTTCATGCTTATACAAAATAACAACTTTGTAAATAACAGAATTAACGACAATTTTGCTATAGTAGAGTGAATTCAAATGGAAATTAATGTATTGTAGAGTTATTGAATGAATATTAAAGAAAGTGAGTTTTTTTAAACTCATAGTGTGAAAGATTAAAGATCTCAAGAATATAATATTCCCAGAGGAAATTATTTTTCAAATTATGATGTTGGAGATATCAAGTTATAAATATAAATTTACTCTGATATAATATCGATATTTTGCATTAAGGAATAAGACAAAATAATAATGACTCCTATGATAATAAACATACTTTTTCATCATGATTAATATGTATTTTTTGCAGTTTATATCGAAAATCGACCAGAAGATTATGTTTTAATAACTTTGAATTTCCAAACTCAATATGTTTAAATTGTCCAATTAAATTAATTTGAAAGTGTAAACAGAGTGAAACTATTTTAAATCAATGTTCATCACGTTTCCAAGCTTCAACGACTAAATGCAAAAAATGCGAACGGAGATAATATTTCATGGGAAAGAATAAACTACCATGAATATTAAATACATATAATCATGTTTAAACGGTGCAACTCCATTCCTAATTCAAATACTTCTAAGAAACAATATTAGCCTGCAAAGCAAACGTATTTGAATTCTCACTTAACTCGATTTAAGTAAGATCGGCATGTAGAACATTCCTTCTTGTAACGAATGCTTTAAACAATTCATTTGAAAATAAAGACGCGGGAAAAATTAAGTACATTTAACTTGATCGTAATTTGGAAATGCAATGAAAGTGATTTACCCGTACGAGTTTAATTATATATTGGATGTGGGGATGCTTCGCAGTTTATTATCTATAAACTAACTTATCCCTTCAATCTGCAATAAATTCTCAACGTGTATGTGCGTACGACTAGCCAGTAATTCGAAACGGGCTTTCCTCAACCGCGATGCAAGATAAGGTTGTAATTTATTAATCGAAATGTACGTATATTATATAAGTATATTGCAGACAATATTCTTGCGCGATTCAAATATTCAATCATTATTTCCACGTCTAGGAGGAAAAAAAATGTATTGCTGCTTTTCAATAGTCCAGTACTTCCTTTGATGCATCCCGTGTTCTTGTTTAACACAAATTGCACCAATCAGAGAGAGTCGGGGATGCTCTCGGCTTGGAAATAATTTCCTTTGTTCCTTTTTGCCTTTACGATTCCTCGCTTCCGGAAACGAGGCTTCGCAGAATCATCGAAGCTCTAATCTTATATAATAGACGTGTGGTCTGCATTTCAACACGACTAGGAATCTAAATTAGGGAGGAAGTTATTGCATGTCGCAGTGTAGAACTAACCAAGCATTTTATGTAAATGGTTTACTACTGTAAATTAAAACTGCATATTGTAAATTTAAATTTCTAATGTGCACATAATATAAACTGGTTGCTGTTGTTTGTTTTTAATACCTATAAATTTTGAAACAGTCATAGAAATAACATTAAATAATGGAGTTATTTCTCTACTTTTATAATCCACCTTTATTTCATTACGTTAGAATTTGACATCTAAAACTAATATTTTTTTTAGAATACCAATTTAAATTTATATCTATTTTTATTTAAAAAAAAACTCAATAAAAACATAAGATAATTTCATAATGTAGATAGATATAAATTCATACCTGTATTATTAAATCTTGAATAAAAATATTCAATGTACTACGAGACTGATCACTAAACGTTTTCCTCCAACGAGTTTCATGCAAGTAGATTAAAGAAAACGAAAAAGAACTGAGATCCTTGTGTGAATAAATTGCGGCGTTCCTTTCTTCATTTTCAACCTGTATGCATTTTATTTATAATTACGTAAAGTCGTATCGCGGATGCATTAAATTTTATGTATACGCATTTACTATGAACTATTTTTGTTTTCATATAAAAAACACACACAAACATGAAAATACTTTCCATTTTAATTTCTTTTCTTATTTCACGGTTATAACTTTTAAATGCTTTAAATATTAGTAATTATTCTACTAAGTTTATACCACATAATGATTATGGAAGAATACATAAAAACGTATCTATTTAATTCAGTATTTTAAAAAAATGTATTGATTAGTATATTTATTGAATCATTATAATTTAAACTAACTTTGTAATTATAAATAAGTTTTTTTTATATAAAATCTGTTAAAATTATTTTTTTTTTGTAAAATAGTTTTTTTTTAATAGAATACAGCAATACTTCATATGGTGCGTTTTTCTTTAGTGTGGATTCTACAGTACGATTTAAAAATTTCAAAACAAAGAAAATTTTAATTATTTGTAATGTTCTCGTTTAGTTTGGTTTCAAACAATGCAGGTTTAAAATCTGCACTATGCGAGGTATTGCTGTTCAATAAATGTCACTTTTATTATGTAATCCAATAAATATTTTTTTATTGTTTATGCAATACAATATTAGCAACTTTAGAAATATATCCGCGTGGGTAGATATCATAATTATGATCAAATTACCACCGATTCAAATGTGTATGTTATTTATTACCTATATAAATAACTTAATTATAACTGAGATATTATTTTCATTTGGTTACTTTATAATTTATATATATATATTGACTATTAATCTATAATATGAATTTATGAAATATTAGAGTATTCTCGCTTATCAGACTCACATCATTATCTCATCGATTGTTAAAGTTTAACAATAGATTTTCATTACATTCGCACGTAACTGTGATTTAGTAATATTCATGTACTCTCTTACTATGCATACAAGTACGCTGGTACAAATATGGTTGGACTATTGAAAACGAAAACAATCACTTCAAAGGAGTTATTCACCAAATATCCACGATAGACTCAGGATGTTACTCATTGTAAATTCTGTATAAATGTCGCATCTCGTCGAAGGACAAACATGTATAAATAGCATTTCCAGAAATGGTTACGAGAGTGGTAATCAAACCTATATATATAGGTAATATTTAACAATATATCTAAATTTAATATTATAAATATAGTTAAAAAAAATTGTTTTTTTGATAAATTTTTAAAATTTCAAAAATTATTATAAAATTATGTAAAATTTTAGCTTTTTGACTTAAAATCGCTCCAAATATCATTATGGAAGTGGAATTTTCAAATTTCT